TCCCTGCCCCCCCCTTGTCGGTGGCAATTCTCTCTGGACTAGACAGGTCAGTTCTGGGGCCTGAATCGGCTGGCAGCGGGGTGCAGAGCCGCTGCACACAGCACTGACAGGAACGGCCTGCCTGTCAGCTGCCTGGCTGGGGGTGGGGCAGGACTAGATGGGTACGAAAGACGTGACGTTACCTCAGGTCAGTGGAGGAGAATGGACCCGTTTTGTGGCTTAAGGAAAACAAAGGGGGTTTAGCAGCCATGGGAAGGCTTTGAAAATAAAAGGAGAAAAACTGCGCTTACATGTGGCTGCTATGAGAATATAAGACCAGCCAGACTGGGTCAGACCAAGGCTCCCACTAGCCCAGTGTCTGCCGACACGGGCCCATGCCAGGGGCCACTGATCCCCCAGAAATGGCACCCACTGGTTTGCACAACGAAGAGACGTCGTTCTGTGTTGCACCAGGAGCGGCAGCGCACACACCAATGTCATTCTAAAAACGAGGCCCAGCCATAACACCTTGCCTGCTCCAGGCCAGCAAAGGGGTCCCCCCCAAACTGTCCCCACAGGTAGCAATTGGCAAGGACTTCGCTGGTCCGTACAGAAAGATGCGCTCTGACAGAATTCATTACTCACCCGTGCCTGACCACCTGCGAATGCCTCCGGATTCTGATCCAAGGCCCAAGACTGCACGTTGCTGGACGGGTGTTGCAATAGCTAATTATTTAGGTTTTTAGACAGGCGTAGTACAAGCGTACAAACACCATCTGGCCTTTGGATCTAACAGGTGCCATGGTAATATCCTGTACTATGACGACGACTGAGAATTCAGGGGGCGGAGGGAAGCTACCAGTGTTTGAATACTTGGGATTTCCTTAGGTCACTTTCCAGTGGGTCTACCTCTGGAATATCAACTCTCATTTAATCCCTCTTGCCACAAAATCTTCCAGAGCTACGAGATCTCTCTCTCTCCAATCCCTCCACTACATACAGCAGAAAAGCCTGTTCCATAACAAGCCCAGAGAACTATCCTTTACCTTGGTCAGGCTCCACACCACCGTCCCCCTCTTTTTTACTGTCCAATTCCTCCTGCAGCGAGCACTCCAGAGCCGGCCTAAATATTCTGCCTTGAACACGATACTCTTCCAGCTCAGCCTGGAGCTCATCGATCCGGTCTTGCAGCTCCTGGGTAAACACACAGCAGAAGGGAAGAGAGCAAGTCACTGGAGCAGATCTACTGCCACATGCAGACTAACAACAGGACACTTGGAGGGGTTTGTTTTATGAAAATGACTTGCTAAAAACCTGGGGATAGCTCAAGAAAAGCACCAATTATCCCCTCATCCACAAGGCTGTCTTTTCCCAAGTTCCAGCGCAAACAGGTATATGTGTTTACTCACTGAGAGTATGTCTACACTACAGAGTTTTTTTCGGAAAAAACAGACATTTTTCCAAAAAAACTTCAATTATGTCCACACGGCAATCGTGTTCTTTTGAAAAAAAAAATGGAAAGAACAGAGGGTTTTTTCCGACATTGGTACGAGGAAGAAGCCTTTTTCTGAAAGAGCGCTTTCAGAAAAGAGAGTGTTCTTTCGAAAGAAGAGGAAAGAGGAAAAAGCACAGGTGCCCTGGTGGCCATTCCGCCCATAGTAATCACAGCTGAAATGCGAGAGGGCGTCTGTTGAAAAAGCAGATCGCTTTTTCAATGCACTTTGGCAGTGCGGACGCTCTCTTTCGGAAGACATTTTTTCGGAAGATCTCTTCCGGAAAAGCTTCTTCTGAAAGAAGCCTGCGGTCTAGACATAGCTAGCCACACATGCATGCGGGATGGACACTGTGTTTGAAACATCAATGCCCTCCACTCTGGCCTGTTTCCCGTTTGCTGTTACTCCAGCATAGGAACCTTGCGAACGCACTAACGAGCTGCAGTTCCTCGCAGGAGAACCACCCTTCCGCAGTGCCCTCGAGGTGACCATTACAGGCTGTGGTGCCTTCCTGATACCGATTCCCATCTGATACCGTTGTCCATGGGCCAACAGGAGTGCCTGCCTCCTTGTGTCACATACACTATTCTGAGCACACTGCGTTAGCGTTTATTGGGGCAACTGAGGCCCTGAGCTAGGAGGTGTGCACAGCCATTCCTGTACATCTGAAAACGTCCATGAAACGAACACAGAAATGTCAATCCCCCAGCCTCTTCTCCCCCACTTCCAGAACTGACAGAGCCCCAAAGGCATGGGCTGCACAGTCACATGAACACAGGTAGACATAAATATCTGGCCAGCAGAAATCACCTGAAAGAGAGCAGGTTGCTAGTTTAACAGGGGGTTTGGCATTAGCTCCCGAATTGGTGAAATCCCACATTGGTAGCAAAGGGACAGGACGGCTGTGGATAAAGTATAATCTAAAACCAAGCCATTCCCTGTGGAACAACACAGCTCGGCCATTCTACTCTGAATGTTTGCAGCCACAGTTGTCCTGGGAAAGTGGACAAATTAAGTTAGATATTTTGTGGCCACAATTTACAAAAAAAGTTTGAGTCGGGGAGGACAGATTTCAAACAGTGTTTTAAATCCACAAACAGGAAACCTTCCTTTAATTTCAATCATGTTTAGCATCTATACAAACTGGGGTGCAGGAGTCAGGGCAGGGGCTTGGGGATGTGCGGGGCTAAGGGCAGGAGGCAGGGGATATGGGGGGGAAGTGTCAGAGTTGAGGGGATGAGGAGGGGTTACAAGGCCAGAGGATGAGAGCATCTTTGTTGGCTTCTCATTGGGACTAGGTCAAGGTGGAGGGGACTGTGCAAGCGGTCTACCAGCTTCTGGTCAGGGATGGCGGGAACTGGGCTGGCTGGCCAATAGCTAGCTACTCCCAAAGGCTGGCGCACTTACTGCCCCCCTGTGGTCATTCTGCAGTATAACTGTCCCTGCTATCACATCCCTCCATTTCAGGTTTGATAGGAAACAATCCCATTCCAGGCACATCCCATTGTCCTGGCACTACCAGATCCTGACCTAGCTTTAAGTTATGATAAGAGGAAGTGGATCAAATTTGGTGGTCCTAGCTCTTAATGTTTAAGAGGAGTACTTGAGGACTCTCAGATGGATGTACAGTCAGACACAAACTCTCTCAACTATACAGTAGAGAAGTGTAGGTCTCATCCTGGCACACCTAGCTTTTAGTCACAGATTTGAAGCAAAAAAAAAAAAAAAAAAAAACCACAACAAAAAACCAAAAGCGTTTTCCTGCTTTTTCAACTCCAAGTAGCTTTCTAAGCTTTGAATGAGCTAGTTAATAAACTTAATACGTTGATAAGTTGATAAACTGAAATGAAGACACCCACCAGATCAGTGAGTTCACTATTTTTAAAGGTCGGCAGCCAACGCGTACTGTTTGATATTGTTTATCGTATTTAATTTAAATTGTTTCACTGGACTAGCAGGTTTTACCATAAGTTGTCAAGTTGAAATTTAATTTCAGTTTGCCTTTTTCCTGTAACAATCATGTATTGAAATTTTAAGAAATCTGATGGTTTTTGTTTTAATTTTTAAAAAAAATCTATTTTCATCCACTCCAGTTTAAATGCATAAGACTTCAGGGGAAAAAAATCTCCCATTACATATAACTGTTCTTTGGCTCTTCCCTTGGGCAGCCAGCAAAGATAGTGGCAACTTTTGCACTGTGAGACCCAATTTAGACCAACAGCTAGCCAGAAGGTAACTTTTGCCTAGAGATGTAAGTGGATTGGCTACCAAGAAAGGTTTCGTATTCCAACCCTTCTTAACTCTCACAGCACTCTGACATGGCCATTTTCCTTAAAAAGTGGTAGTGAAGAAAAGAGCTTTTAGGCCAAAAGGGTTGTATTGGACTAACAAGGGGACTGTTACTCAAGTTGTATCAAACTCAGCTGCACCTTATTAGACATGGCTCTCGATAGGAGAACGCTGCATTAAGTACAGAACTGAGTTCCCATCCTAAAGCTGTCTCCCTCACACTTGGATTCACTCACCCTGCACTGCTGTTCATACTCGTTTTTCATTTGGACCAATCTCTCCTCTTGCAGGAAGAACTCAGCACTGCTGGGGTCGAGGTTGCCGAACTACAACACAGCATGAAAACAATCCAGTTAATCCTCCACTGTGAATAACCCTCGCACTGAATTCAAGGCCAGGCCCCATTTTCCAAGCATTTCAGCCAGGCTGAGTTTTGTTTATATAGAAAATACTGTCAGAGGGGACAGAGAGCAGGCGATTGACACAGGAATCCTAAGAAACAGACCAGCTGTTATTTCGCAGTGTCACGTGTTCCTTTCGCTAGCTTCGATTCCAGAGGGTTTTTAAAATGTATTTTTAGACAAAAATATATAATGCAACTACAAAAGTAACTATCTGGAAAGTGCAACCTGTTTAAAAGAAGGAAACATTTATGGGGCTCACAGAAAATTCTACCGAAGTATGTCCTTTAAGGATATTGACAAATGTGAAATAAGCAAAAGGGTGTCCCATCCCAAATCATGGTGCAGTTTATTGTAACATGACCACCTTGCTAATTTGTGCATCCTGATTTTTAGCTCAGATTTAAGAGTGAAAGGGCCCCTAAGGTCTTTATTTAAGGCAAGATCCTAGAAAAGGGTTCATGAGAGTCTGTCTCTCTCCGACTCCCTTTTTGTGATCAGGACCATAACAAAAAAGCCGCTCTGGAGGAAAGAGATGGTTTCCTCTGGATTCAGAAAATGCTTAGCCCACTTTTGGGAACCATATACAACAGTAAATCATGTACTGATGATTTATGAAAATATAATCCGAAGTAACACTCGGCCATAGTTGTCAGAGTAACCAAGGTCTACTAGAACTATGAGCAATCCGGTGGCACTTTCTAGACTAACAGATTTATTGGAGCATAAACTTTCGTGGGCAAAGACCCACTTTGTCAGATGCATCTAGGCCACATCAGTGGTGTTGCACGCCAGGCTATATATGAGGCCAATGCAGCAATGGCTCAGAATGGTGTACAGACCCCATCACACCCGTATCAACAAGCTGAAGCATCTGATGAAGTGGGTCTTTGCCCACAAAAGCTTATTCTCCAGTAAATCTGTTAGTATATAAGATGCCACAGGATTTCTCATTGTTCATGCAGATTGAGACTAAGATGGCTACCTCTCTGATATGAGGTCCCTAGGCTCATGTTCACCTTGTGGTTGTCCTGCTAGCAGTTAAATCAGCATCGAGCAGCCCCTCTTTGGGAATTTCAACGGAAGGGAGACTCACCTTCTCAGCCAATACGTTCTCCAGGTTCCTTTGCAGTTTGCTCATCAGACTCTCAGACTCCGCCAGCTTCTGTCCAGTCTCCAACAGCTCGCTCTCCAAACGGCTGTTTTCCTAAAAGAGAAGTGATCATAAAGTCCTGGGGCATGTGTGTTTGTTTTCAACTTTGCCTAAGGAAGTCCACAGAAAGCCGGGGCAGAAGGTACCTCTAGGCTACACCTGGATTCTGACCTGCATCCTGGCACAAAGCTCAGTTACCAAGATGAACTGTGAATTTGTACCCCGGCAAAACATGAAAGACTCCACTTGTCGCAGAAGGCCTGGGCCTGCAAACAGTGTACAGAGCATTCACCGGGAAGAGCAGCCTCTAGTTCTGTCTTGAGTCTCTTCTTCCCAGGATTCCCTGCCCACCTGTTGGATGCATCTGGCCAACAGCTGCCTCAGAAGATGACAACGTTCCCGGCCAACAAGGGACAGACATCAGCAATATCTTTAAAAGCCCTCCTTTCCCACACCCTGCGTGTGTGTGTGTACAGCCTGCTCATCCTGGTTCCCCTCTGCCCATCTGGAAAAACTTTTCTCTCTGAGGGTATGTTTACACTAGCCACCCTCGTTCGAACTAGGGAGGCTAATGTAGTCATTCGAACTTGCAAATGAAGCCCGGGATTAAAATATCCTCGTTGCAGGAGGAGTAATGGTAGTCCGAATTAGGGGCTTTAGTTCGAACTACCTAGCCCGTGCCATGTGTAGCTGAGGGCAGGAAGTCTGAACTACCGGGCATTTAAAAATGGCCACACCCAGGAATATGCAAAAAAAGCCCGGGATATTTTAAGCCTGGGCTTCATTTGCAAATTCGAATGACTACATTAGCCACCCTAGTTCGAACTAGGGTGGCTATTGTAGACATAGCCTCAGAGAGAAAAGTCGCCCGATCCGACTGTATTCAGACTAAAACGAGATCAGTTGTGAGTTTCTAAACACATTGCAAAAAGGAAGCTGAATTTGGGGCTTTTTTACTCAGACCCCTGGTGAATAAACAGCCCTGCAGCCAGATTGTTTTGAGAATATGGATCCAATTGGAGAATAGCTGATGGGTTTTTTAAAGCTATAGTTTGACAGGTGAAGACCTTAGGAGTAAGATGTTCTCTCTGCTCACTGATGGGCAGATGATAAAACAGCCCTGCAGCAGAATGGCCCATCTGGAGTCTGGGACCCTTATGACATCCAGGCATAGCCTATCCAGGCCAGTCAGAGGGACCCTTTAGCTGCATCTACACAAATCATACCAAGTAAAGGTAATTTCAATCAGCACTGATGTTCCCACTAATTTTTGTCCATCCGTGTGCAGAATAAATTTTGTTATGTGCACCAAGGCATGTGAAGATGTGCACCTCCAATATAAACACATGCTGCTGGCTGCAGGTGCTCTGCTAATCAGCTGAGCATTTAAATTTCTCCTGGGTGGCCACCCTAGCGTATGGCTTACAAGGAACACACAGTCTTTGATTCTCTTAATGAGGGCTGAGTAGTAAGTGAAAAAGGTCTGCAACTTCAGCCAGCCCTTTGTTACCTTTAGGGAAAGGGTGAGCCGATCGCGGACGTAGTTCTCTTCTGTTTTCACCTTCTCAACCTCTCGCTCCAGTTCCAGTCGCTGTTTGCCAGCCTGCTGCAGGATCTGCTCTCGCTCCTTCCGGAGTTCGTTCTTCAAAGCCGCGGTTCGCTCTTTGTACTCCTCATCCAGCTTCCTATTAACAGAGGAAAGACTCTTAAGATCAGTAGGAAAACCCCATTAAAAAGAGGTCTGGATAGTAAGAGACACAGAGGCACTTGGGGTCTTACACCAACCACCACTCCAAGTCGAGGAAAAAGACGCCAGGAAGGGAAAGCAGGTACACTCAGACCAGCCGTACACACTTCCCCCAGGCATTGTACACAATTCTGTATGACATGCACCTCCCATTCTACGCACAAAGCGATTAATTTGGATTTCTCTCTCACCGGTCCAAATTGTCAAGCTAGAATTCAATTAAGATCGTATCTGTGGAAAACAAAACGTAGCCCTTCCTGCCCCCACCTAATCAGGAAAGCACAATGAGAGCAGGACAACCAGGTGTGAGGCGCATAAAGCCAAATAAGGGAGGAACTGTAGAGGCAGAACTGGGTGGCACAGAATTTGGTGACCCGCAGTGCTGTAAAAATGGGTGGGGGTGAAGGGGAGGGTGAGGACTTAGTCAAATTGATCCTGAGGTCTTCAGAACATGCACACGTGTGCACGCATGGACAATGACACACACGCACTCACTCACTCTTCAGCTTGAGCCCCACACACGAGGTCAAGCAATCATTTCATTTTTATTGCTACAACCGATACTCCGGTGTCCCTAATCCGGGAACTCCCTGGCTGGCCAACATCTTTAATCCGGCACAGCCTGGTTCCCATGGTTGCCGGATTGAAGAGGTTCAATTGTACCGTATACACCCGCTTCGCCGACAGAGCAAAATGGAGAGGCCCGTGCTCTCCCCTCCCGGCAGCACCTGAGGTTGTACTCGTTCCGGCGCTCGATGGTAGCGTGGTGGTCGTCGACTTCCGAGGCCATGAGAGATTTCAGTTTTTCAGCTTTTTCCAAGTCTGAGCGCAGCTTCTCTTTCTCTCTGATCACCTGGTCAACTCGCTCCCTGCAGAAAGGGCGGAACCATGGATGAGAACCCCTTTCCTGGCTCCCCGGCAAGTCACTCACACGACTCGAGGCCCAAGAAACACTCTGTCCCTCCGCCGCCGCCACCCAACCTCCCTGCCTTCAGATCACAGCCACCTTCCTCCTCAGGAAAGATCGGATGGGCTTAGAACATAAGAACGGCCAGACTGGGTCAGACCAAAGGCCCATCCAGCCCAGCGTCCTGTCTGCCGACAGTGGCCCATGCCAGGTGCCCCAGAAGGAGTGAACCGAACAGGTAATGATCAAGCGATCTCTCTCCTGCCATCCATCTCCACCCTCTGACACACAGAAGCTAGGGACACCATTCCTTACCCATACTGGCTAATAGCCATTGATGGACTTAACCTCCATGAATTTATCAGGTTCTCTTTTAAACCCTGTTACAGTCCTAGCCTTCACAACCTCCTCGGGCAAGGAGTTCCACAGGTTGACTGTGCTCTGTGTGAAGAAAAACTTCCTTTTAGTTCTTCTAAAAGGAAGTTATTTGTTTTAAACCTGCTGCTCATTAATTTCATTTGGTGGCCCCTAGTTCTTATATTATGGGAACAAGTAAATAACTTTTCCTTATTCACTTTCTGCACACCACTCATGATTTTATAGACCTTTATCCTATCCCCCTTAGTCTCCTCTTTTCCAAGCTGAAAAGTCCCAGTCTCGTTAATCTCTCTTCATATTGGACTTGTTATTTTGGCCTTGGAAAGGGTTCAGCAAAGGGCAACTAAAATGATTAGGGGTTTGGAACAGGTCCCAAATGAAGAGAGGCTAAAGGGGGGATAGGATAAAGGTCTATAAAATCATGAGTGGTGTGGAGAGGGTGAATAAAGAAAAGTTATTCATTAGTTCCCATAATGAAACTAATGGGTAGCAGGTTTAAAACTAATAAGCGAAAGTTCTTCCTCACACAGCGTGTAGTCAACCTGTGGAACTCCTTGCCAGAGGAGGCTGTGAAGGCTAGGACTATAATAGAGTTTAAAGAGAAGCTAGATAAATTCATGGAGATTAGGTCCATAAAAGGCTATTAGCCAGGGGATAGAAATGGTGTCCCTGACCTCTGTTTGTCAGAGGCTGGAGAGAGATGGCAGGAGACAAATTGCTTGGTCATTGTCTTCAGTCCATGTCCTCAGGGGCACCTGGTGCTGGCCACTGTCGGCAGACAGGCTACTGGGCTAGATGGATCTTTGGTCTGACCCAGTACGGCCGTTCTTATGTTCCAAACCCCTCATCGTTTTAGTTGCCCTTCTCTCAACCTTTTCTAATGCCAGTAGATCTTTTTTGAGATGAGGAGACCACATCTCCTCTTGTCCCATCTCTTCATCAGCTCGTAAAGGGGACAGTGGGAGGAGGCACAAGTGCACCGCTGCCTCAGTGTCCTCAACTCTTGCTGGCCAAGACTGGATAAGCCTAGGAGCTGCTGTGGATTAAGAGTATTAATGGGTTAGCCTCATCCTTAACAGGCAGGGGGCTGCCCCAGCTGAGCCAGGCTGGAGCGGTGCCCCTCCCCATTTAATCAGTTAAATTTAGCGTTTAACCGGTTAACGAATTAAATGGGATTTCACATCTCGGCTCTGGAGTAGTTTATTTTCTGTGCTGATGGAGCTGTACCACTGGGCCACTCCACCTTCTGTCTTAGTCCTTTGTTCTGACTCTTTTCGTTGCCTCCTCACCCACGGACTGGATTTGTTTTTATTACTAGGCCTCTGTTGGATCCGCTACGTTGGACGGTTCCCTTAAGGGAGCTCAATTTTCCATTTGTTCCATTTCTTAGCTGGCAAGGATCATCCTGGAGGTACGGGCGAGAGCTTACCCCTTACCGCTTTGCTAGCGTCTGTTCTTTCATCGGGGCCTTCTATTCAAAACCTCTTCAAGCACAAACCCCAAGAGCAATGCAATGAAAGGAGGTATGGCCCTCCGAGCCCCTCGATGCCAGCCAGTAAAGAGATCACTGCCATGCAGCTGCAGCTCCCATCAGGCTCGACAAACTCGCTACACCTCCCACACTGCAGTTGTGTTATTTATCCCTAAAGAAGGTCATGTAAGGTATCTACAGCTCATAGAAAACCGGCCATCACAAGCACTGAGAAGTATGTATAGGAATCGTGCCAGGAGTTGTGTAGGTACTAAAATATGTTTAAACTAGGTAATCAGGCAGGGATGATAAACAAGTTTTTCCCAGACAAAGAAATGTTGATTGACTTATCCGCCTAGGCCTCTTAGGTACATTAAGCACAGTAAACAAACCAAAAAGGCAGCTGCATTTGCATGTAAGTCAACATGAAACAGGGCCGGGTCACCACATTTTGGCACAGGAGGCGGGGAGCTCAAATGACGCCTCCATGCCCCCTCACTTGGGCCAAAACTTTGCAAGGTCTCAATTCTGCCTTCTTCCTGTTCTACTCCTCTCATGGTGCTGCTCTGCTACCTACCCCAGTACAGGAGAACGAACAACTTAAAATGCCTTGTTCAAAAAGTGTGAACTAGTGGCACCCACACAGCCTGACACTTGAGGCAGCTGCCTCAGTTCGCCTCATGGTAAGGCCAGTCCTGACAGGAAGAGTCAGGTTGCTGGGAGTGGGGAGGGAGTGAAATCAGCTGAGGAAGACATCAGAGATTTACACCACAGGGGGTTGGCTTGTGTTTGAGGAAATAAAAGCAGAAGCAAAAAGACATTTTTCTGAAGCATTTCAATGAGGAATACTCCTGGCGGAGTGGGAGCGATTCGTGAAAAATCTGGCTCCTGATCAGACTGAAAATTAGCCAGCTTGGAAAAGGACTCTCAGAAAGTCTGTTTGAGACAAGTGATAGAAATGTAGCCATGTTAGTCTGGTGTAGCGGAGACAAAAAAGCGGCTGATTTTCCGGAATAAGTGGCCCAGTGTAGACACAGCCTTGCTGTATTGTTAACCAGTCCTGTTTCCCCTACCTTCTCTCAGAATCACTTCCAAAACCCCATCTTTATTAACAACAAACTTGTCTCCTCAGAGCTGTGAATTCTTAGCTGGATCAAACAAGCTGGCTCCTACCCTGCCTCTTTGGAGATCATGAACATGGTAAGTGTCCAGTAACAGCATCCCATACTCAGGGGAATGATCTTCCAGCAGCTCAGGGCTTAGAGCAGTGGTTCCCAAACTTTTCAGCATCAGGCTCCCTTTCTGATTTTTGAGAAACCCTCATGCCCCCGCTCCCAAAAAAACAGCAGCAAAACTTGAGCGGGGGTGGGGGGAAGAAAGGGGGGGAAAAAAGGGCGGGGGAGCTGACCATGGCCGAGAGAGCCTTGTGATACCGGTATGGCACAGTAAGGGCTGACAGAGTACTGAGAGGTTTGTTGGGAGCAGCTAATAGACTGGAGTGACAGAAAACTGTCACCCAGCTCAGCACCAGCAAATCTGTCTTTCGCGGAGGCAGAAGGGTAACACGGTGTCTCACGGTTCTAAGGGCCCAGAAAAAGTGTCCGTTCTGAACATCTGGTGGGCTTGTATGGCCTGACAAACTCTGCGTAACTCTAGCCAGAGTCAGCATAAGCCTTCCAGGCAGAAAATCTCATCTTCCTCTACCCAAGGACCAGAACTATGTAGTTTCTGGCTGTTACTCGAGGAACAAGCAAGCCAGAAAATTGTTGTTTCGGGTGTCCGGAAGTCTGAGTTACGCCGTCCTGTGAGGTTTGGCTTCTCAGACTTGCAATACTGAGAAATTCTGAGGTGCTGACAAAAAACCCCTCAGGTACGACAAAGAGTTCGCTCCGTTTGAGGAGACGCACTCTGAATTGTGGGGTAAGCAAACGGTGTCCGAACGCCTGCTTGGCCTTGTTTTTAGGACACAAGAGAGAACTGTTGGGGACTGAAACCCTGCCAACTTACAGTAAGTGTCGGATCTCCATTTTGAAGCTGGCCACGGCTGCCTGATGAGTTCCATTCTTGGTTACCAGAAGCTCATTTTCTAGCGCCAGAGTCAGCTCCGTCAGGTTAACCTTTCCATCCAAGCTAAAATCCAAGGCCTATAAAACATCAACGCGTCAGCACAGCAGGGCAAATAATTTCTCTTCTCCCATAGAAGCTTAAAATAAAGGTGACAATATAAACTAGGGGAGGCTTAGAAGTAGCCTGGGCTTGCTAGTGAATCTGTCCTGGATGGACTCCCCACATGGATACAGAAATATAGCCTCTCAACTCCCTCCTAAAATGAAACCCATGCTATGGCAAGCGGGGAGGAGAGAGGCATAATTTCCTGTTAGGCATGCAGTAAATCAAGTGCACACACACTGGTTTGTTTATTGCGGGTCTCAGCTAAACTGCATTTGTTTTTAATTTAAAAGTGTCAGGATGAATGATTGAAAATGATCCTCCCAAACCCGAGAAAAAGTCTTGCCATAAAGACAGCTAGGGAGGCAGTTTAATTTGCGCATGACCTCTTCGCTTCAATTAACTGTTGTATTTTATAATAAAAACCCCCTCACCATAATTAGAACACTAAGCCCATGGCTAGTAATTACCACTGTGGAAGCCTAACTTATCATTTGATGCGCCTCTAGTTACACTTTGTTTTAATGGAAACATTTGACCACACTTTAAATTACAAAATGCACTGGAAAAACGTCAGAAAACACGTTAATGCTACTAAAGTCAGACAGGAAAAAAGCTAAAAAAATAAAAGAATCAAGGAGCAAATGAAAGAGGAATTAAAGAGACATTTCTCAAATATGGCTAAAAAGAAAAGAAAAAAACCTGCTGTGAAGTTTTGTTTGGCACTTGCTTGAGACCAAACTGCATTTTCTTGCCTAGGACTGACAGTGCAGTTTTGGGGCAAGTGTTTATGGGAGTCAGTAAGTAAAGCTCAAACTCAGTGTAAAGTTGGCTGACAAATAAATGGAAGCAGATTTTTTTTATTAGTATATCTCCAGTGTCACCAAGCCCAAGAGCCAAGAACAACTGCAGGAAATTCTCAATTAGCCTGTCCACAGCTTTTGAAAAGGTAGCGTGGGGTGAGGACATCTATTTGGCAATGAACATGAAAATTTGCATCCTCTGGATGTGAAACACCCAGCACAAGTCAGGCTCAGACTATGCCCTCCAATTTGGTAGGTGCCACAATCGAGCATTCCGGCACTGGAGTATTTGGTTGGTTGGGGCAGTCCAACATATAGACATCTAAAGGACTTACAGTGCCCCCTACAGGTCAGAGGGGCAAACGTACTGACTCGCTAAGTCGCATACGACAATCTTCAGACGCTCGAGAGGCAAGCACACCTACCTGGGGTTGGGCTGGTGCCTGCTGAAGCCCCAAGCCCCATGGGGCTGAAGGCCTGAGACCATCCCCGGCCCCAGGCAGAAGCTCTTACCCCACCACTCTCACTGTGAGGCAGAGGTCCCCGGCTTCCCACTTTTAGTCTGGTAGGTGGAGAATGGGGGCAGAATTTTGGGGACTCCGCCATCTGCAGTTTAACCAGAGCGGCACTACAAAGGGGCTTTGCAATGTGGAGCCGGGGATCAGCTGGGGACTCCAGCTGATCCCCGGCTCCGCTACTGCAAAGCCCCTTTGAAGCGCCAAAACGGCACTTCAAAGGGGCACCGCGAGCGGAGGGAGGGAGTCATCGTTTCTCATTCTCTATGCCTGAGGAAGTTACTCTGGCTATCAACATCCCTGCAGCTTCCAGCACGGAATCGTTTTAGGTCGGAAGTACAGATCCAGAAGCAGCAGCCTCCAGAAATCAAGATCAGGCGAGCGGGGATCTACCCAATTACCGTGAGGATTTCATGACCATTCTCGATTCCCTCTTCGTGCCACATGTCAAGGACTCGCTCCACAGAGGCGTAGCCCATCCCGTCGTCGAGGCTGGAGAAGACTCGGAACCCGATGGTGCTAGTCATGGCTGACAGGGCCGTGGTGCGTCTCCCACTTTCATCAAAGGACTAGAAGAGAGGAGAGATGGAGGCTACAGAGGACTTGACCAGATAAAGGCAAGACTGGGCACTTTCCTGCTAGGGGAGGAGGAAGGCTTATAAACCCAATTTCCATGAGGAAAGGAGACTTAGCTCAACTGCTCTGATGTGGCATGGGGAGAGACACGGTGCCTTCAGGGAGAAATAAAAGCCCCCCCAGGGCATGACTCAATCTCCAGTAAACTTTCCAGAAGGGCTCCCCCTGACTTTGAAGGACTCTGGATCAGGCTCCTAATCTAACATGGCATCAGAGAATCAGGTCAGAGATACAGAAGGCCTCTCCGCAGATGCAGACAACAATATCTTACCTTACTATCTATCTTTTATCTACTATCTACTTAGCTACCGTATTATCTACTATCTAACTATTACAGTCTCTGGTCTCCTGACCATTTAGGACTGGCCGCTATTAAAAATGTCTAGCATCCCTGTTGAATGAAACCATTTCAAAGAGGAATACGGTCCCAGTGCTTCTCACCTGCATGGAGAGGTGCCGTTTGAGTTGTCGATATGGAGTCGAAGCTGATGGCGTAAGAGATTTTCCATTTTTAAACAAGCCATAGAAAAAGTCCTCTATGCTCATTGTGCCATCTTGTTCGAGATTATGGAACACGTCTTCAAGCACCTAAAAGTGGTGAAACACAGTCAACATCTTTTATACCCACAGAGCATCCCTCAGCTCTACCACCAGGAGACCCAGTTTTACAGCTCAGCATAAAAGGAACAAGATTCTACCAGTATCAGAGGGGTAGCCGTGTTAGTCTGAATCTGCAAAAGCGGCAAGGAGTCCTGTGGCACTTTAGGGTACGTCTAAACTACATGCCTCCGTCGACGGAGGCATGTAGTTTAGACGTACCCACTAGGTCTGAGGTCAATAAGATGAAGTTTAATAAGGACAAATGCAAAGTGCTCCACTTAGGAAGGAACAATCCGTTTCTCACACATACAGAATGGGAAGCAACAGGAAGGAGTCCTGTAGAAAAGGATCTAGGGGTCATAGTGGCCCACAAGCTAAATATGAATCAACAGTGTGACACTATTCCAAAAAAAGCAAATGTGATTCTGGGCTGCATTAACAGGTGTGTTGTGAGCAAGACATGAGAAGTCATTCTTCTGCGCTGCTCTGCGCTGATTAGGGGTACTAGTTCAAGAAAGATGTGGAGAAATTGGAGAAGGTCCAGAGAAAAGCAACAAAAATGATGAAAGGTCTAGAGAACATGAGTTATGAGGGAAGACTGAAATAACTGGGCTTGTTTAGTTTGGAAAGGAGAAGATTGAGAAGGGACATGACAGCGGTTTTCAGGTATCTCAAAGGGTGTCACAGGGAGATGGGGGAAAATTGTTCTCCTTGGCCTCTGAGGATAGGACAAGAAGCAAAGGGTTTAAATACCAGTTTAAGTTTTTAGGGCATGTGTCATTTAAGGAGCAAACACCAAGAATTACTCAGTATACCGGTACTGTTGTTACTAACAATAAGGGTGGCATGAGAACACTTTTCAAGCATCTAAAAGGGTGTCATGAGGAGGAGGGAGAAAAATTGTTCTCCTTGGCCTCTGAGGGTAGGACAAGAAGCAATGGGCTTAAACTGCAGCAAGGGAGGTTTAGGTTGGACATGAGGAAAAAGTTCCTCACTGTCAGGATGGTTAAACACTGGAATAAATTGCCCAGGGAGGTTGTGGAATCTCCATCTCTGGAGATATTTAAGAGCAGGTTAGACAGACATTTATCAAGGATGGTCTAGATGGTGTTTGGTCCTGCCGTGAGGGCAGGGAACTGGACGCAATCTCTCGAGGTCCCTTCCAGTTCTAGTGTTCTATGATCCTAATTACTGTGTCATGAGCAGGGGCTGAGTCAGTGCATTTTCCCCCAGCAACTTTTTAAACAGTTCTCCTCTCTGACAACACGTCTGAAGGAATTTAATTGTCTCGAGGGGAATATACGCAACGAATATCTCCTGGAGATTTGTTACATCATTGTGCCCAAAGCCGCCTGGCAGGAGGGTTTCATAGAAAATGATGTGTTGGAAAAACACCTGTGTGCAACGCAGCAACTCAACTCATTTCAAGGGCTAGTTCTCAGCTAAAATAAGTTCAGCTGAACTACCACAAGGCAACCAGATGTTAGGTGTTAAAACGGAAAGGGTTAACATTTTCAATTCATTCCTTTTTTTTGTTGTTGCCTTGCACATTGCTTTGCCCGTGAAAGAATCTTATTAGTTTCTAGTCTCTTTAAATTCCCAGTGGTATCAGGGCTGCAATGTTGGTGTTGCAAACGGATATGATCCCATTAAAACAGTCGTCACCAACCAGTAGCTCAGGATCTCGTGGTAGGTCTTGGAGCCTCTGACGGGATCCTCACTGGTTTGGCCAAGAGGCTATCCAGTGCTAACTGCCCCTGCCCCCCACTGCTCCTGCCCTTTGTCTTGGAGCTTGTCGTCCCCCCGCCCCCAGCCTCCCACTTGCTGTGCAGAGCAGGAAAGGGAGAGGGGGGTCACTGATGTCAGGGTGCCCCCTCTCCCACCCTGTATTCTGCCTCCAAAGAATGGAGGGGGCAGAAGGCTTGGGATGGAGGGAGTTTGCTGGCTGTTATGGAGAGTGGGGCAGGGCCAGGGCAGGGGTGAGCCTGCCTTAGCCCCACTGCCCCACCAGCCAGGAGCCACCTGAGGTCAGCAGTGCCCAGCTGAGCCAGCTCCAACCCCCTCCCCTGGTCGTGAACCCCTCCCAAGCCCGTCCTAGCCCTGAGCCCCTTGGACCCAAACTCCTTTACAGAGCTTGTACCCTGAGCCCCCTACTGCACCTCAACTCTTTGCCCCAGGCTCAGCTCAGAGCCCCAGTCACGAGGCGTCCCTGTCACCGCCTCCTCCACACCGTGCCTCAGTGCCCCTATTCAACTGTCTTCACTCGGTCCCATGCAGGGCCACCTACAGTCCGTCTCGGGAGCTCATCACCGGCCATAACCTCCCTCTTTCCCATATCAGCCAGGCCCTCTTAAACCCTGTTTTCAGCGCCGCTGTGGCCTGAAAATATAAACTTCCTCTCTCCAAAACCATTTCAGCTGTTAGTGGGGGGTGTATAAAAGCTACTTTTTAAAAAGCCTGCGAATCCTAAAATGACATGAGTGTGTCCCAGTAACACAAAATAATTCATGTCCAATTTCGTTTTGAAATCTTGGTGAGTCAGAGAGATTACCCCAGGACGGGTATGACTACACTTGCGCCCTCTTTGCACCCACGCTTCATTTGCATAATTGCATTATGGTGCTATTTCAAAATAACAGACGCTGTTAAGATGCGGTTATTTCGAGAGAAAACCCTTCTCTCGAAATAACTGGTAAACCTCAGTGTATGAGGAATAAGGGTTATTTCGAGAGAAAACCCTTCTCTCGAAATAACCGCATCTTAACAGCGTCTGTTATTTTGAAATAGCACCATAATGCAATTATGCAAATGAAGCGCGGGATATTTAAATCCCAGCTCCATTTGCTATTTCGAATGTCGCCATTTGCATCCCTCTCTCGAAAGAGGATGCAGGTATAGACACACCTACTTCCTCACGAGGCAGCGTCACACCACGCAGTGGTTAAAACAATGGGCAAACTAACCTTCGGCGGTCCTAGCTCTTACTGTTTAGGAGGAGTTTTTGACCAGACAGACACACAGACAGAAAAATGCTCTCAAATAAATAGTAGATTAAATTAAATTAAATGCATCCTAGGCTCTTCTCAGAGAAAAGGGAGGCATTTGCTTGGTGAGGTGAGGGGTCGTTTCTCCTGAAAAAGCCTTTCCGGTCACTTGGGCCACCCCAGCATGCCAGCTTCCCTCGGAAAGGAGGGAACGGGGACGGTTACCTCGCCGTGCACAGCCTGCAGCCCGTACTGCTCACAGACGGAGATCAGCTTCTTCCTGTTCAAGTGGCCGTCTCTGGTGATCCCCAGATTGTCACAAACCTCCTGCAGCTTCTCTTCTATCCAGTCCTGGGGAGCGGACGCCGCGTTCTGGGACGCGTTCAAGTCGTCCGGATTCCAAAACCTCAACTGGCCTGAAAGGAGGGCAGCTCGTTTGCCGTCGTTCCAAGGAGGGACGCAAAGGGACAAACCGCCAGGGTAAGGAGCTCTGGAGTGTTCCGAGGAGATCACGAGTTGGAAGTCGACGCTAGGGGCCAGCACAGGTGGGTCACCCAGCCCCTACAACTAGCAGTTTACCAGCACTCACAAGTCTATCTGCCTTAGGGGTTTGGGAGGGTGCCCATCACCCCAGCCTCTGGGCACCTCCTACTTGCTCGACAAGGTTCTTAGTGAAGTCCTTGGGATCTTCTGCAGTGCCCTACCCCTGGGGCCAGCAGAGCCCTTCCCTGGGCAAGGCGGGGCGGTAGAGGGAGGAAGCTGTGACATATCTCCAGAAGGGGTGGGGCTGGGCCAGGCAGTCCGCTGCACCACCCAGTCCCTGCCACCCTCCAGTCCCCCGCACCCATCAGTGCTGCCTGGAGCACGCAGTGTGGCACTCCGGCGGTGATTTAAAGAGCCAGGGCTCCAGCGGCCGCAGTAGCGGTGGCTCGGAGCTCCAAGCCCTTTTGTATCACTGGGGAAGGGGGCAACTGCCCCTTCCCCCCCACCCTGTCAGCAGGCCCGGCAGGGGCTCTGCTTGGCACAGGCTGGTAGGGGGTTGCTGTGTTCATCGGTTAAAGGAGGCACTTTAGCAAAGGGAAGAGCCTGCAACGTGTCTAACTCACACATGCTCCACCATGGGCTCTGGGATATGCACATGCCCAGGGGAATGCAGCTCCCTGGATGCCCACAGCATCACCGGTCGTCTGTAACTCTGAGGGACCTGACCCACAAGGAGCTCTGGAGACTGGGCCCAAGGCCTTCTGCTGGCAGCGACTGCAGACAGGGGGCCAGCGGAGGGACAAGTGCGCAGGCCGGGCACGCTCACGGCAGCCTAGCTGGAGAAGGACAGGGTCGGCTGCCGGCTGCACAAGCTGGTGCTCTTGCAGAGCTGCCTAATGCATGCCCGAGTTCTTCCCTCAGACTGCCCTGTGTCCGCCAGGAGGGCCAGAACGAGGAGATCCCACAGCCCTGGCCAGGCCCCTGTGGCCAGATGTTTGGACCCCCCAGCCCCAGCCCTCGGGGGCTTAAATAGGCCATTGAGCAAATGTCTCTCTCGAGATACGTTCAGACAATTCTGTTCCCAGCAGCCTCTGCTTGGGCCCCCTTCCTGCAAGCCAGTACACCCAGTGCATGTAAAACGGTAACGCTTAAAGAGTTACTTGAGGGTTAGAAGACGCTTTGTGGCACCTCCCCACACCAGCCTGAACGGTCCCTTTTACACTCACATTGGGGGAAGCGGGGGAGGAGAATCTGGCATTTCCAAATGACATGGGACATTTTAGCCATCTCTTAAATCAAAGCGGAGTCTTCAGGATTTTTCTGTGGCTGCCCAGCCTCCTGCAGCCACGGCTCTCAAGGGGAGCGCCGCAGGCTGTGACAGCAGTAGGCTCTAGAGGGCAGGGGACTGTCCTGGTGTTAGGAGACCAGTTCATTCCTGGCTCTGCCACTGACCTCCCGCACAGCCCTGGCTTGTCTCCTCCCACTCTCTGGACTGGGACCCTCGCTCCCTATGTTCGTGTGCAGTGCCTGGCACAAGGGGACCCAGTCCTGGCTGGAGGGCATAAGCCCCTTCAGTACAAGGGATAAGACACACAGAAAACCCTGAAGGGACTATCTAAACCAGGGATCTCAAACTCCCAGCCCATGGGCCAGTCCAAGCAAACCCTGAAGGGGTCTCAAACTCCCGGCCCATGGGCCAGTCCAAGACAGAGCCATTGTGCAATCTGGCCTGGGACTCCCGGGGGGCTGGCCATTACTGCCGCCCGAGCCCTGCCCCTTCCCACCATCACCCCCCCTCCCTCCCGTGGCACTCCGTCCCCCAACCATGCGGCTTTGGGGATCACCTGGGGGCTGGGCCTGGTGCAGCCCAGTGCCAGGCACCCCCAGTGTAACGGCGGGAAGGGGCAGGCTTGGGGGCTGGCCCGCCCAACGCAACGGGAGTCCCGGGCCGGATTACGCAATCGCGGTGGCTGGGCTTGGCTTTCGCTCTAGCCAAGGCAGGGAACCGTTTAATTCTGTGGTTCACACTGACATCTGGTGGCCACATCGCGTGCCTGCATCTAACACGCGCGGCGTTGCCACGGCTGGGGACGGCAAGCCGGGCGAGGGGCCTGTACTAGCCGCATCAGTGGCGGTGGCTCTGCCCGGCGAACCCTGCTACACAGCACGGGGTGCGATGGGTGTTCCTACACAGCTCCTCCCTCACAGCCCAGGCGCCCCGAGCAGCCGGCTTTCCCAAGACCCGGGGCTGCTCCGGCAGTGAGGCGAGGAAGTGGGGGAGGCACGACGCAGCCGAAGGGGGAGCGAATGGTGTTAAACAGCGGCTGCAGCCATCAGGCATCTCCTGGGCAGCTGAGGGAAGAGCCGAGACCCTCTGAGGTCCCAGTGAAGTGCACTGGGATGCCGGGACGCTACAAAGCTGCGGGGCGTCTGGATGGCAGGCGGCCGCAGCTTTTGCCTGGACAGGGGCTGTGTCATTCGATAGGGTGACCAGTCTCCAGTCGTTAGAAGCCAAACAAAAACCCACGTAAGAGTGGGCCAGGAACCTCATCTGGTTTTTACCCCTCAGACACGTGCAGGCACGTCAGAGCCCCTGGAACATTCCAGCGAGCATTTCCCAAGATCCCACGAGCTCTCTTTACAGCTAGATCTGAATCAGAAATTCTTACCCAAAAAACTGCCATGGTTTCATTTGCTTATTGTCCTCCCTTCCCCCTTCCCAACTTTACAGGAATAAAAACAGGTGCTTTTGCTCGTTTTTACCTTCGGCTTCATATTCCTCACTGTCCCGAGTCTTCCAGTGCTAAGGGAGAGGAAAAAAAAAAAGAAGTGAGATTCCATGAGTAGTTATTATTCCAAGCAGCACACGTATAAAAGGGACTCTATGATCAACATCAGATGAGCTACAGGATTCCAGCAATGCTGAGAGACTTTCATCTCCACAGCCTCCAGGGACCAAGCTGTCAGCCCAAGCCTTTTTGATGAAGTCCACTGATAATAGTATATCTATACAGAGGTATTTTGGTGAGGGTTTGCCATGGGCATTTCAAAATAAAATCACTTTTGGAATAAGTGTTACCGCATAAAATCAGATTTGAGGTTAACCAGCTAGCACGGAGTCTGGTGAAACCAGTTTACAGTTAGGAGCAAAGGAAAAAGGATTTATTTTTAGAGGCACCTGTTAAGCAGACCAATCCATCTGTCTTTGTGAGGGGAGAATGTGAAGGGGAAGGATTAAGGAAAGGTACGTGCCTAGACTTCCAGAGAGGTTTTGGGCCCTCTTTCCAATTCTGGAACAGCACCAGCCGTCTCTCTTCTGCTCCAAGTATGTGACAAGCCAGAAAGGACAAGAATGACTAGCCCCAGCAAACTACACGTGACGATTACACCAACAGCAGGTGCCCGAAATAGCTGCATCTTGCACGTGGCCGGATGCCAGCTACAAAAGCCCCCTTCCTGCTGCAACAAGTCCACACATGCCACAAGCAGCAGATTTTCAGCATCAAGACAAGAAGCAAGTAAGCGGCTCTGCACCCTTTTAAACTGCCCTTATCTGAACCAAGCGAAAGCCCAGGCTCCCGCCGGCTCAACGATGCGCTAAACGGGTCGAATGAAGGCAGCATGGGTTTATCCAACTTTCCAAAGTGCTAGAACGCCTTTAAATCCCACTCTCGGCATTGCTTCTAGCTGTCACAGACAAGAGACAGTTCGGGGAGAGAGCAGAGCCCTGAGGTGAGGCAAAAATCGAGAAAAAAACGTATTCGCAGGCAATGTTCTTGACAAAGGGCCACACTGGCAGGAAAGTGGTCATTAGGGATGTTAAATTTTGATTAACTCATAGGGATTTCCATTGACTATTCGATAAAGACGAGCGCGTTCCACCTTTGAAATGCGCAAGAGCCCCTGTCGCTTACATCCCTAGTGGTCATGCACACACGCTAGCCTGAGCTTCCAAACACGCCAAGCAGATAGCCGCCTGCACTGCACGTTGCTGTAATTGGTCAAATATCCCGTGCACCTGGGGCTGTGCATCGCTACGGTAAAGCTACCGCAGGAGACCTGCTCGCACGTGACCTTATCGACGGCTCTTTGCCGGGTCCATTCTGACACGGGTGGGACACATCAGCTTGCAAGCACAGAGGGCTGGGCAGCCTGTTCTCGCTGAACCTGCCTCGTGTTCGGTGAGGAACCCATCAGCCAAGGACATCTGTAGCAACCAGCCCATCCTTAACGAGTACCGACCGGGGAGATCGAAAGACCAAGCAAGTCACCGGCAGCAGCCAGCTCCCTATGGAATCTCCTTCCCAGATCTCAGCTGGTCCCAGGTCCGCACAATTCAATGGGGAGGGGGAACAAAACTAAGAACCGTGATCTCCTTAAAGGGAACAAGAGTTGGTGGGACCATTGAGCACAGGGAGGTTTGATTGTCCTCCACCAAGAACCATCCTGTTACACTTGCCTAACACATGGCAGATAGCACACAACTCCCTGCACCAAAGTCCTGCCACCGTTTTACACGTCACGTGCGTTATTTAAGACTGACCGAGCACTACATGTCCACCTCTAGATATATTTGTTGCTTATCTACCCATCCCGCAGGAAGACTAGGAACGTTAGCTTTCCTTCGAACGGCGGCATGAGTTGTGTTTCTCCTCCGCAGTTCAGGAGCAGCCCATGAAAATATACGCATGTGACGGATGGATTTAGATTCAAAGTCACCCAGGACACAAAGAGGCCCTAATTCACAATATAAAAGTTTAATACGTCTCATTCAGATTACAGCTAAAAGCCATTAATCTACCATGTTACCATGGAAACTGGATTAGGGCACTGTACTTTTTTAGCACGGCTTCTTGCTTCTGGCTCATCATCTGGTCGACCACATGATACCGGTTCCTAACAGCGCCCAATCTGCATGTCCACCATTGCCCGTCGGCGTCACTGGGACAGGACTGAGAAGTGGCAACAGAACCACCTGGGGGAGGGGCAATTCATGTTGTCTGTGGAAAGGAGAAATACTGCAAGGAAACGCCGGAATTTCCTGACAGTCCGTATAGAGAGTTAAACCTCAGCAAGGCAGCTTCTACCGCCGCAGCGGGACTGCACTGACGTAAGCAAGCCGGAGCTGTTCATACAGGTGCCGACTCTTCTGTTCGAGTGGATGCTCCAGCATGCCACCATTTGGCCTTTTCCCCAAACAGCTGATTGGCAGGTGGCTGAACTCCAGGTTTTTTTCCTGTGCTCCCCCCGCCCCGGAGCACCCCGGCTGCACAAGTGACAAGAAGTTACTTTCAAACGGAGGAGCCGCTGGTCACACGGTTGCTCCCAGTGCATGCCGGCAGTCATAAGGGAAGGTTTGCTAAACCCCAGGATTTCACAGACATGTGCCAGTAGCATTTTGTTTGTCCTTCCTTAATCAGTTAGCCATGCAGGTCAGGGAGCAACACACACACACCCCCCATGTGACAACACACACACACACACACACATCAGGGAGCAAAACACACACACACACACACACTAATTTTCTTCCATGCGTGGAATAAATTTTGTTATATGCACCAAGGTATGTGCACCACCAATAGAAACATGTTTTGCCAGGTGTGGGTGCTGTGCTGGGCAGCATTTGAATCTCTCCTGGGCGGCCACCCAAGCGCTCAGTTTACAGGAAACACTGCTGAGGAGCATTTCAAGCCTTATCAGGAAAAACAGCTTTTAGATGTGGGTTCTATTCCAGCCAGCATTAAAGAATTAGGTTGGACGGATTCTTGGTTTGCCTCTGATGACCTCTAAGGAAAGAGAAATATTCAGAAGGCAGAAGCGGGGGGAGCAAGTGACCATAACGCGTATCTGTGGAAGTGGAAAATAGACCATACACCAGTAAACTGAAAATATATGGCCAAATAGCTTCAGAGATAGACGTAGCCTTCGTGTCGATTTCCCAGCATCCTCCCTGAATTCTCTCTTGGTGGCAGGTGTGATTGGTTAGTGCTAACTGGATTTTGAAGCTTGATGGGGGAGGAAGAGAAACCTCTCTGAGCCCAGTTTTGAAGGGTTTACATAGGAGCAGCCTAGTACAGTTTTAAAAAAGCCATTGGGATTTCAGACAAGCACGTTTCAGGGATGCATTCGAGAAGCACCAGGTAAGTTCATCATCCAGACAGCTCAAAGAGGCTGAAAGGGGAGCTGAACCCCCGCCACCCATGCTCTACACAGATAATCGATTGTTGCAGATGCTGAAGGCCGAACGGCCCCGTTGGCCCGACTCCTCCAGTAATTCGCTTCATCTGCGGGTGCTCTCCTCTGCTGCCCAGCCTCAGGGGCCCTCTATTGTGTGTGGCTGGTAAGTTCATCATCCAGACAGCTCAAAGAGGCTGAAAGGGGAGCTGAACCCCCGCCACCCATGCTCTACACAGATAATCGATTGTTGCAGATGCTGAAGGCCGAACGGCCCCGTTGGCCCGACTCCTCCAGTAATTCGCTTCATCTGCGGGTGCTCTCCTCTGCTGCCCAGCCTCAGGGGCCCTCTATTGTGTGTGGCTGGGGCCG